AGATTTATTTGGGCATAAGCTTTCGTGGGCAAAAACCACGAAAGCTTATGCCCAAATAAATCTGTTAGTCTTTAAGGTGCCACCAGACTCCTTGTTGTTTTTGTAGGTACAGACTAACACGGCTACCCCCTGATACCAGAAATCATGAAACACTCCCTGCGTAGGAAGCCACAGTCGCTCTTTTGCATGAGAAACCATGTGGCTCCAGAGCCCGTGTGCCACTCCTGGCCACGTTGCTGCATGATGATGTCAGAGTTGCATGCCACTATGGAGACCCAAAGGGAAAAATCTGCCAGAAGGAGCACTGGGGGGTCCGGTGCTGCCCCTGCATGTCCTGGGCCTCTCTTCACTCTGAGCAGCCGGCTCTGGGTTCTGGAGTTGGCTCTGCTCAGCACTGTGTCCTGAGCAGGGTGGCAGTAGTCACCACAAGTAACAAAGTGCCCACGCAATTGTCAGGCTACATCTGCCCCATATCTCATCCCATTTTTAGGAAATCTGGCTGATATTTACAGATTGCACATGACACACACTTTTATCTCTGGACACAAGACACGTCTGAAACCATCTAGTGATACCAACAGCAGTCAGTGCTGTTTTAGGGAAGTGGTCAGCACACCCACTCTCAGACCAGCTAGCCAACAGGGTACTACTGATCAGTAGGGAGGCGAAGAGGATCCTGTGGTCATCTGGTTGGGATATGCCAGCATAGCCTGGGCTAAGGCTGAGCTGCGGAGACATTGCTCATAGGGTACTTCTACTCCACTCCCTTTTAAGTGATAATAGGGGCTGTAGCTCAGATAGAAGAGGAAATACAGTCTTATGGCTAAGGCATTGGTCTCTCTCACAAGATATCTAGACTCCAACCCCAGCTTTGCCACCAAGCCTGTGTGACTGTGAATCAAGTCACTGACGTACCTCCCCCGGGGTGTAGTGAAGATAGATTTTGGGGGGTGGGTGTTCAGTAATCTTTGAGGGCCATGAAAAAGCCAATCAATAAAATGAGTCCCCATGTCTCTCTGCTCCCTGCCAGCCCCACCCAGGGAAGGGGCAGCAGCCTGCAGAACTCCAGTGCAGACTTGCAGCGATTAGCTCAGTTACCTGTGGACTCAAGCAGCTCCAGGCGTAGGTGCTGCTCCAAGTATTCCATGGTGATCTCCTCCCTGGCCCGTCCAGCTCGCCAGAAGTCCAGGGTCACCTGGCTGATGATGTTCCCACCAATGTTACTGGGAAGGAAATGGAAGTTAAATAATTTATCTGGAATAATCCTAATGTTTATTCCTCACAAAATCATACATCAAAAACCACTAACAGCACCCAGGTCCAGGCCTCGGGGCCGTTGGTAGCACAAGGATTCATGTAGCCCCAAGCCAAAGCTCTGCCTTTCCAATGGCCCTAGACATGGATTTGCTTTCTCTCCCCACCCTGCAAAGAGAACTGAACACTTTTTCACCAGATCAACTGCTTCCATGCCCCAGCCCGGATTCTTAGGGTTAGGCCCCACCCTCCCAGACTATTACACACTGTGAATCAAGAGTACAGAACATATTGACTACAGCCCCTTTATCTTCCAGCCCCTTCTGCAGAGAAGTCAGCAAAGGACAGAGAAACTGGCAGGAGTCCCACTAGAAGCAATGGTCCAGACAGCGCTTTGTGTGGATGAGAAAGTGGAGCCGGAAGATCATGAAGGTGGCAGAGAACCCACATTGGTGTTCTTAGCTGACTGACTAGTGCTTTGTAAGGGGAAGGGCAGCTGGAACTCACACATTGGGGTCACTTTTTAAAAAGCTTGTTTCTCTAAGCGCACATGTGCAATGAAAGGGGGCAGGCGGGCACTGAAGCTTCCAAAGGGAACCCCAAAGCTCAGGCAAAATTATCCCAGTCAGAATGGCCTGGAAACAGCATCAGTGCTGGTGAGGAAGTTGCACCAGCTAGAGTGGTGTCAGCCCCGTCCCCACCTTAAGGTGTGTGCACGTGCGCACGGGGGGGGGGGGGGGGGAATCACTTGGCAGAGATCCCAGGACAAAAGCTGCTTGAGCCCCTCCCAAGCACTTAATTAGCCAGTACAAAGGGGTTAGGAATTGAGGAGGCAGAGAAGAGTAGGACTGGTGGACACACTGACACTCCCCCCTCCCTTCTCCAAGGGGTTCGAGAGCCATCTCGGATGATGGAGGGGACAAACTCGTAGTCAAGATATGGGAGTGGGGGAGAGATGAGACTAAAAGACTCTTCCCCCCCCCCGCCATTGCCCACATGTTAGTTCTGAGCAGCCTACTCCCTCTACCCCTGCTCCCCTTCAAATTTTAGTTAGCTCTGTCCTGGAAGCTGCAGCTCCCACATTTCCCCTGGAGTCAACAGAAAGAAACCCCTTCTGCTTCACAGAGACACATTGGTTCCAATGACATCTCCGAGAGCAGTCTGGTTTCTAAATGGCAGATATGCAAAGCCAATATTTCTGCGTGCACAGCCCAGAGGAGCCCTGCTGCCCCCCTTCCCACAGCACTTGAGATCACACATTGTTCAAGGTTCCCCTCAGCATGGCAGGAAGAATGACCACAAGAGCAGGGTAGCCCCTCCATCTTTGGGCTCAATTCCAGTTTCCTCTCCACAGACTGATCAAGGGTTTGGAGGCCTATTCATGGGAAGGAGGGAGAGTCCCCCTGACCTCTAGGCCAGGTCATGTGCTTTCTGAGCAGATAAACCCAGCTGGGATCAGGTGGAGAGAAGCGCCCAGGCCTCTAAACATCAGAATTAAGTAGAGGTCATGGGACCTGCCCTACCACAGCAGACTAATGGCCTAGTTTGGTATATCCAGCCTCTATCAGTGGCCAGCGGCAGATGCTCAAGTGGAAGGTAAACACTTCTCATCACTTCTCTGATTAACTTTGCAATGTTTGCCCAGCTTTCTGGGCTACACCATCTGAGGGGGGCACCGGTTTGATTCCTAAGATATAGCTCACTGGCATGGTGCTACTGATACAGTGTCGGATCCAGGGGTCAACTCCTGGGGGTTGCAGACATTCAGCCTCACAGTCAGCAGCACATGCCAACTAAGGAGCTACACAGATGGGCTCTGGAGAGACAGTTACATTCAGCCATCATGAGGTGGGGTGAGCAGCTGTAGTGAGTGGGCTTTGAGGCCATTGCACAAGGAGAATCCAGAGAACTACTTTCCCTTCAATTCCCGTGTCTTCCAAGGGCAGCTCCGTCCCACACCTCAATCTCCCAGATCATGGGACTTTAATATGGGTTGTCACAAACCTTGGAGAAAGCAGATCCTTCCCCGCGAGCCAACCCCTTCTCCCTAGGGTCCCTTGTAGTCACCTGAGGAATAGGAAAATGGATCTCCTGTAATCCACCTCATCGATGCTGTCATAGTGATCCACATAGGGTTTGATGGCATCCAGCAGGCCAGAGTGAAGCTTCTCTGCCTCATCGAAGATGAACAATGACTGTTTACAGAGCTGCACTGTTTCGCTTATCTGCTTCTTCAGCTGAACCTGCATGGTAGTAGGAAAAGAGTGTGAACTGGTATAGAACACCTGGTGTTCACCACCAGCACTACTGCATCCTTCACACAGACACAACTACCTCCAGCTGTCTCACCCAGCCTCCCCCCAGCTCCTCCTCCAGCCTTTGTCCAATTTCCCCGACCAGAAGGTGTCACCTGGGCCCTCAGGTTACATGTTTAGGTATCTTCCCTCAAGGAAAGTCTCCTATCCCCAATGCAGACAGTCCCAGTAAAACTCCCCTGCAACATTCCCAGGTCAATACTCCCCACTCCCTACTGTGTCACAACTTTGTACACTGGCATAGGGCTCCTCCAACAGCTGTGCTCCTGCTCTATGCTCTACTAAAAGTGGGGTCTGAGATAGCTACTTATTCAGAAACGCCCCTTTGACTGGGATTGAAGAGGCTAGGACTGAGTTACCCCTACTACAACCGGCAGCTGTTGTGACTGGTAACATCGGAGTTTTCTCACCTTGTACAAGTCCACATATTTGGGATGTGGGAAGTGAAAGAGCGAGATAAAGACTTTAACACACTCGCTTTTCAGCCCGTCTCGGTACAAGTGATCAGCGATCATCCGGGCCACAAAGTTTTTCCCAGTGCCAGACCAGCCGTGGAACGACAGAGCCAGAGCCTTCTCCGGCTGTGGGGTCTCCAGGAAGCCTTGCACTGCTTTCAGAATGACGTCCTTTGCTAAGTGCTGCCCATGTAGCCTCCTGTTCAGGTCCAACTCTAACCCTGCAGAACGAAAGGAAACACTGATCTTACACCCAAGCCTGCCTGCTATCAAAGTTTTTCTTTTATCATTGTAAAACCAAGGACGATTTTATAACTTTTTTGTATGTAGCTGTTACATGTAGAGCAACCTCTGTCTAAGTAGGGGTAAATTACTCCAAAAAACATTGATCCTAGATAGTTTTCCCTTCAAGTAAAGCATCTTGTTGTTTAAATAAACTTCTTGTTTAAATTTAAAAAAAAAATCACTTGAGAGTAGGAACAAGTAGGGAGGATGTTTGGCAGCATTTTTGCTCTAAGATGAGCCCATCAGAGCATTAGGCATTCTGCCTTGCATTGCTGGTGGGTATGCCTATTCAAGGGGTTTCTGTGCAGTGGTATTACAGATGCAGAGCTAGATTGGAAAGCAGCATTTTGAGTGATCTGATCACAGTAGTGCAAATCAGGATTCTTGGGCTCTATTCACAACTTTGCCACGGACTCAGGCAAGTCATTTATCCTCTCTTTTCCCCTCTGGAAAGTGGGAATAGTATTTACCCATTTCACAGGGTATTTAGTTCATTAACGTTTGCAAAAAGGCACTATGATCCCCAGATGGAAGCCCCTAGAGAAGTACAAAGTATCAATCACTATTTGCATTGATTACTGAAGTCCCAGACCCAGTCACAGCTTAGGACATTTTCACATGGACTACATACAGGGCTCAGTATCCACCGTCTAGGTCAGGACTGGGAAAAAGGGATGGGGCTTAGCAGACCCTCTTTGAGCAAGCTCTTCCTCCCCCTTCTATGTGCTCTGGGTGTGCAGGAGACTACAGGCAGGAATAGGTAGGGTCTCTGCTCTGGAAAGCGCTCTGCACAATGATGCTAAGATTTTGTCATGGGGTAAATTTTGTCTGTGCGTCACAGAACAGAAAATGTTCTGAAGTTGAACTGTCTAAACCCACGGAACACTGAGGCAAATTCAGCACCTGGCTAAGAACTGCTACTTCTCTAACTTCTTTGTGACCAAAAATTTGATTTAAGAATGAAAAAAACCTCACACAGGTTTGCCCCTAGTTCTAGGAACTGGGAATTAGAGGTTTCACTCCAGCTGACAGGGAAACATGCACACACATTCTGTCTCTTTGGCCTCCATTCTCACTGCATATGAGCACCTCATAATCTTTAAAGAATTTAAGGCCAGGCGATACTGACATCCCCATTATACAGATGGAGAACTGAGGCACAGAGACTAAGTGACTTGCCCAAGGTTACACAGGGAGTCATAGCAGAGCAGGGAATTGAACCTGGGTCTCCTAAATTCCAGACTAGCACCTTAAACTCTGGACCATCCTCTATCTCAAGGGCCTTTACCTGTGATGTTGTTGGCTATTCTGCAGTCTCCTGTCTCGCAGCACTTTCCAAAGCTGCAGTACCAGCTGGAAAGGATCTCCAGATAATCCTGACCCACCAGGGGCAAGCTCCAACCTAGGAAAGAGGCAGCAGTGAGAAAGGAAGTTGTATGGCAGGCTGTCTGCCTCCTGAGGATAAACCTTGCCCTATCAGCCTTGAATTCCCCACAGACCCATGCTAAATCTCCTATCAATTTACCAGCAGTACCAATCTCCATATCCACAGCACAACTATGGGGGAGGGGGAAAAGACTGACATGGGTAGATAAGGCAGTCACTCAAATGGCACATTGCAGCTACTGGGTGAAGCCAAAGTAACTACACAATTACTGACCGTAATTACATAAACATCTGGGAAGGACACTCAGTCAAAGGGATCCCCATCACACACCCCTGTGCTAGAGATGTAGGCTGGGAAATCGCTAATCGCACTGGAGACGGGACACCACCTCTCGCCAAGGGAGGGCTCTTGGCTTGGATGCAACCTTACTAGAGCCCATACAAATGAATCCAATTTCGCAGCCTGACTCAGCAGTGTCTGCTTACTGCAAAGGCTTGGGGGCCCCTCTCTGGTTGTGCTGAGGGTACAGAAGACAGCAATGAAAACTCACATGTGACTGACAGCTACAGGAGTTAAATAGGAAACATACACAAAAGAAGCTGGTCACTCCATATCTTACACGCACATTTGCACAACAGATCAAACCACCTTTTCTTGACTATGGGACCATAAAAAGACCCTGGCTCAGATCCTCAGCTGCTGTAAGAGGGTGTGATGGGATGGTCCAGTCCCATAGCTCCCCTGCAACACCTTCTCTCCCCCAACACTGGCCGAGACATTCCGCTAGCCCAAAGATCCACAGCCGGCAGGCCACGTACCGCCAGTCAGGGCCGGCTCCAGGCACCAGCTTACCAAGCAAGTGCTTGGGGCGGCCACTCCAGAGAGGGGCGCAGGTCCAGCTGTTTGCCGGCAATTCGGCAGAGGGTCCCTCACTCCTGCTGGGAGCGAAGGACCTCCCGCTGACTTGCCGCTGCAGATCGCGATCGCGGCTTTTTTTGTTTTGTTTTTGTTTGGCTGCTTGGGGCGGCCAAAACCCTGGAGCCGGCCCTGCCGCCAGTACTGCCTGGAGAGGTCGCTCACGGCCCTACCCGGCGGCACCCCCGGCGCGGCGGCGCCGCACAGCAGCGGCCCCAGGCAGCAGAGCAGCAGTGGGAGCCCAGCCCCGCGCGCCATGGCCGCAGGGAGGCGGCGAGCCGGACTCCCCCAGCGCTGAGCGCACTTCCCGGCCAGCGGAGTTGCGG